GAGGCAAGCATCGACTGGAGCGTGACGACGGCGGAGGGCTTCGACAAAGCAAGCATTGCCAACATGTCAGAAGCCGATGAGCTCCCAACAGAGAAAAACAACAACAACCGAAGGAGATCGTCATCGGGAAGCGGGTTGCTGAGCTGTCGGTCGGAGAAAGCGGTGAGTGTGGGCCCACAGCCGGTGAAGTTCATAACGGGAGGAGAGAAGAAAGTGCATGTGGGGAGTAGGCCACCACTAGGGAAGAAGCCACCACTTGCTAGGTCTAATTCGGCTCGCCAATCTCTTGCTTTTGCTGCCTGATTTGGGAGCACTCTCTCTTCTGATGGCGATGGGGGATTTTTCTCCACTACCCTTCAAACAAAAAACACATCATCTTTTTATTTCTTATCTTGTCTCTCCAATTTTTTTTCTCTCTTTTTCTTCCTATTGATTCATATTGTTTGTGTATCTCTCTAATAATTGTGTGAACAAGTTTGGTGTAGTTTCAATTTTTACATGTTCTCTTGTTTTTTTTTCTTCTCTTTTTTCCATTCAATTAGTTTGTTAAATTCAATAAATTCATTTTAAATCTAAGGTAAAATTGTTGATTTAAGTTGATTTTGTAGCTTGTGTGTTTCAGAAAACTTTGTGGAATGTTTTTGGCATTAATTCATTGGATCTTTCATGAAATTCCAATGTTTTATTCAAATATTTGATACTATTTTTTGAGACCGTTCAATAATAAATGACATCTACTCATTTTCTTTTGAAATTTGAGGTACAAATATCCCTACCATATTTGCATTATACTAAGAAAAATATATAGATTACTTTAGACCCGGAAGAAATGGATGAAGAACTTAAAACTAAAAGAACTGCTTGCAACACTTACGAAAATCAATTTCATTATTTGGAAAAATCTCATTCGTAACTTTTTGGAAGGCTAGACCTTATCGAAACTTTTAAAATTATGAAACTATTGAAGCAAACAAATACAAGCTATAAAGATAAAAGAGTTATAATTAACCTAAATCTTCTTTTTCTATATATATATATATATATATATATATATATATATATTTTGGGGACAAGGATAGATAATATATTTTAGAGAAGCTAGACTTTGTTGTCTAGTTATTTTATCAATATTTAGATTAATGTGTCCAAACAACAAGGGGTGTAGATTTTCCTAACTATATGACTCCAAGATGGAAGGCCTGTGGAAACCTCATTAAAACAACTAGGAAGACTTTCTTTATTTTTCAACTTAGAAAGTTAGAGTTTTTCTTAAAAAAATATTAATCGATCAAATTAATTACGTTTAACTCAAAGGTCTTATTAGAGAGATTACGAAGACTCAATTTGAATCCTATTAAAATTCCTAATTTTATCTTTTAATATATCTTACATATTAAAGTATTAATTTTTTGAATCATACTCAAATTCTTAAATTAATATTTTATTGATATATCTAATATATAATTTATGTATCCAATATACATTATTATAAAATACAATATTTTAAAATCTAATGTTATCTATTCTAATAAATAATAATAATAATAATAGATGAAATATAAATTTGAACATTTCACACATTTATTTCTCTCTCAACATGATTGATCTATCAAATAAATTTTTTTGTATGAGTTAGCTAGTGAATCTTCATGGATCTACATATCAAAATCAATTAATTAACTTTCATTTATTAATATAAGATTAACTTTCATTTTCTCTCTATTTTGCTTGTTGGGCAAATACAATAATTAGTGGGCTCATGGGCTTGTAGGACCATTAAGTAGGGGTAAATTTAACAAATAATGCAACTAAAAGATTAGCTTTTAATACTATATGTGCTCATTGTCCCTCTTTTTGATACTTTGTGTAATCGGCCTTTTCTGATGGGCTGAATGCAATTTTTTTGAATTACCATTCTTTAAAAGATTAGTTTTTAGTATATTAGAGTTGTAACGAACTAAGGTAATAACTTCTCTATTGTAAATGCCTAATAAATATTAATGCTTGTATACTGCTGTAAACAATTGAGTTAACAAAATAGATTTGGCTTGTGGGTATTGGCWCGGTGGCAAGATATTTGGGTGTTGCTTTTTCTGATGGGCTGAATCCAAGATCTAGGTTCGAGCCATCCAGTATCCAAATAATAACCCAATAAAAAAAAAGGACTAACGATCAAAGTCGATCAGGGATGAAAATGTATTCACGTTCAGGATTTTTTGTTCTCTTAATACTCTGATACTATGGTCGGATGCAACCAGGGAAGCAAGTTTAAAGGAATCATTATTAAAGAAAAGAATCCATCATTTGAATAGGAAACTATTTCATGTAATTTCTGTCGATTTCTCCATAATCATCTCCAGCTTCAAATATTAGCATCAAACAGAACACGAAATGGAATCATGAGGGGTTACACTTCCGGATTGCGACATAATTGAACGGAAGCGATGAAGATTATACATCAAATGGAATTACATCAATAGTAATTTCTTCTACGCATTTCGAGATTGACTGCCTCTCCGGGCAGTACCAAATTCACATACTGRTAGAAGTACCCAATTTCTTGCGTAGTTGCAATCGTTTCGAACTTTACAGCTCCAAAAATTATCACTTTTTCCACTGATTTATACGTTTCGAATATGTTGACGTTCATTATTATGGGGCAATTGATTATTTGCAGGAATCTCAGAGTTTCGCTCGATCCCTGCAGCCATTGGGGCAATTCCTCCACTTTTGGGAGCTCTCTGATTGTGAATCTTTGGAGCTTGAATTCCACTTCCTTTAAGGTCAGTTTCAGCTGTTTGCAACCCCAGATCACCAGATTCTGTAGCGACTTCAGATACCTCATCTCGTTTGGCAACGATTTCAGAGCATTACAATTGTAGATCATTAGGGTTTCAAGGCCCGCGAGGCAATCCGGCCGTTCGAACAGGATTTGTAGGTTATCGCACCCTCCAATGGCGAGAAATCGCAGAGAAGTCATGGTCCCAACTCCATTTTTGTGCAAACGGAGTTTGTTTGATGTTACCCACAGGTATCTGAGGCTGATCAAATTCGCTATATCATTGGGCAATTCTACAAGTGATGAACAAGAATCGAGTATCAAGGTCTGCAAGCTTTGCAGTTTACAGATTGAATTCGGCAGCTGCTTGATTCTCTCATTCCCCTGCAAGTCCAGGTATCTCAGGTACTTCAATGTTCCTATAGCATTTGGAATTTCCTGTAGATCTGCATTGCCTAAATACAGTAGTCTTAAGCATTTGAACATTGAGATGCATTTGTTGGCTAGGAATACACTAGGTTTCACCTTATCTCTTACTCGGAAGGCTATAGATCTTATTTCTGTGTCTGGTTTGGTGCCTACCAAGCCCTCGGTTTGTTCTCGTGTAAGTACATGTGCGAGTTTTCGAATGAGAGGGTGAAGTTTAAACCAGCAGCCAAGACCATGTTCCTCCATTTCTTGAACGAAACATCTTGACCATAGTTCCATGAAGTACTTCTCACCTGTATTTTCCAAAGATAAGCTATTCTCTTTAGGTGAATGAAGGAGTCCATGTGCCATCCACAACTGAATCACATCATTTGAGGACAATATGCGATCGTCGGGTAATTGAGAATAAAGAAGAAAGCAAGGTTTCAGGTAAGAGGGCATTAGATTATAGCATACTCTGAGTATAGGTAAAATACTGCCATCCTCTTCTTCTTGTGCACATAGCTTGTTGTTGACTTCATTCCACTCAGCTATTCTATTTTTTGAGGATAGCAGGCTCCCCACACACTTTATTGCCAAAGGAAATCTTTTACATTTCTCCACAATTTGCTTTGCTATGAGTTCTAGATTTTGTGCTTCCTTGGTGTCTCTAAAAGCATAATCTTTGAATAAAGAAAATGAATTTTGCTCTGACAGCCCCTCAACTATGATAATTGCTTGATGTTCTATAGTGTTCACCTGATTTTGCTCTGACAGCCCCTCAACTATGTTAATTGCTTGATGTATAATAGTGTTCACCTGATTTTGCTCTGAGAGTTTCTTTGTCTTGTAGACTTTTTTCAGTTTTAAATCATCTGCAATTTCCTCATTCTGTGTGGTCACTATGATTTTGCTGCCATAGTTTCCCAATTCCAATAAATTTTTTAACATGGAACGATCATCTTCTAAGTTCTTGCTTGAAAGGTCTTGAAAAACAACCAGAAAAGTTTGCCCTCTCAGAAATCGTTGAACCTTTAACAGCAATTGTTTCTTAGTAAAGTCATCACGAACTTCTTTATCATCTTGAAAACTGTATACCTCTTTCAGCAATCTCTTTGTATTATAGCCGTCTTTCACACAAACCCAGGATCTTGAAGTAAAACTACTGCATACGTCATGATGGCTGTAAAAGAATTTGGCAAGTGTGCTCTTGCCTATACCTGCCTCTCCAACTATGTGGAAGAACTGTTGCTTAGAATGTATGAAATCATTCAGAAGCTCAACATATCGGCTGTTACAATACGAGTTTGGAGCATCAGTCAAGGGGTAAAACAATTGCCAACTTGGTCTCATGTGTCTTGTTGAAACTTCTGTAGCACTAAGGAAGGAGTGTGCTGTCTCCATTCTTATGGAAGAAGTATGCTCTTCTGTGAGATGAAATTCATACATTTTGGATGCGATTTCATCCAAATGGTCGCATAGTTTCTTCATCTTACTAGTCGGATTAGTTTTTTTATGTGCAGCAGTTTTATCAGAGCACGAGAAACGGGCACGTACCTTTCTTCCAATGCCCTCTTGTTCCCATTTGAGTTCATCGATGGAGTCCTCAGTTTGGTAAAATACATCTTGAAGCTCCTTTAGCCAATTACGTAGACCATGATTCTGTTCTTGCTTCTCTTCAGCATCCAAAAGAATTGCTTTTAGGCTCAACATGGTATACTCCATTCTTCTTAGGTCGATTGGGCAATCTTTTAGCTTGTTCAAGATATTTTCGGCCCGACTGTAGATGAAATGAGCCATATTCTTTTGTAAATCGTCGTTTCTGTTTCTCGCGATTTGTTGAGTTTGAAATAGTAAAAAGAATGAAGATAGTTTATATATGCACCTGCTAGCTACGCCATGGATACGTTGCATTTTCATGGAGCAAAACAGCTTCAAAACTCAACGCTTAGGTAAATGTATATTCTTTCCCTTCATTATGAAGAATAGAATAGACAACAATTCTTTTCCATCTCTTTATGTCCAAGGAACGAAGGAAATTCTATTTTTGCTTTGTGTTCTAAATTATTCTGAGATATCTTTCTTCATTTTAAAGGTAATTCCTTAAGTTTTTTAAAGATTCGAAATAACCAAACTAACCAATTAACGTTTTTACTTTTAATTATTTAGTATGAAGAATAGTAATTTTGATGTAATTGATTGAGCAATGAAGATTATTAATTTGACTATATGATCACTCAAATCAATTTTTCTTTCTTTTTGAATTCCTACTTGAATTCAACAGGGTGCGAGGAATTCTAACTTCTGATCTTTAGAGATATAAGTAATTTTTTGACCAGCTAAACTGAATTTTGGTCAGACGTTTTAAATCCTCTTTTCTTTTTTAATTGGTTTTAAGGTCGAACAAATTCTATTTTTTCCATTTATATGTTTATCTTAGTTAGAAGGACACACTATTAGTGGAAGGCAAATTTAATTACCTGGAGAAGGCAACCATCAAAATTATGGTTATATTTGGGCAACAAATTATTGGTTTACTAAAAAAAAAGAAAGAAAAAAAAAGGAAGACAAGTTATAACTGACCTTTTATTTTAATCATTATCTATCTTAAAATATAAGTAATACTTCATATGAAAAATATCAATGTTGACGGAAATTTTCGTAAAAAATCATGGAAAATATGGAAATTGACAAATTTTATTTAAAATCAATCTGTGATACTTTAATTATAGTCTAATTGTGATATAATTCATCATTTTTACTAACCATATTTATAAACCTAAATAATATTGGTTACATAAATAAGAAAGATATCAAATGAATGATGGTAAAAAGAAAAATAATAATTTCATAATATTAAAATTGTATGTCCAGATAAATATTACAAATCTAAAACAATACTTTGTAAAAGCATGCACAAAATTCTGTGCATTTTACTTTAAAAACTAACTATATAATTAAAAGGTATACCGTATATGTTGGGAGATCGAGAGAATGAAAAAATTTCTCAACATTTCTTCGACATTGTCAACATTTCTTCAATATTTCTCAATATTTGTTTCGAACAATTTAAACATGCACAAGATAGAGTAAGTGAATAGCTTCCTACTCAACATCAAAGCACATTGGAGGAGTTTTATCAGAGATGAGAATATTAAGCACATCATTAATAATAAACTGTAATAGAAGAGTACTATTCTTAGAAAATTTATGAGCCTCAAACTACAAATTTGTTGAGTACTAGATCAAGAAACAATAGGAAAAAAATTCAATTCTTACTCTTAAACTTGATAAGTTCAGTTAATTCTTGCCTTAAATTTTAAATCTCATTTAATTGAATCTTAGACTAATATAAATGTTGTAGTTTTTGTCATCTATTAGACTTATGTAACATTTATTTTCTTATTTCAACTTTAAAAAATTGACAAAGTAAGAATCTTTCAAAACTCACTAGATTTAACGAAAATTAGGCCAAAATATGTCATAGAAAATTGATGCATGAGATCGACAATGGAATAACGCTTTCAATACTCACAAATTTCAACCAAAAAAAAACCTAGCCCCATTCATCTTATTTCTCTAAAATTTCATCCATTCCATATAAGACCTTTGTTAGTAATCCATTAAATGAATATGAAATATTTTTTTTCTTACAATTTTTCATATAGATGTCAACATAAAGTAAAAATTGGAACATTTATCTAGGTCTTAAAGTTCTTCTCAATTTGAAAATTTAAAATCAAGTAATAAAATTTGAAAATTTTCCAAAGCTATAAAACTGATGGAAAATGAAAGGGGAGAGACAAACATGTTATACTCTTTAAGAGTTTGCCTCCTTTAGTTGCAATACCCGCTTAGAACCATCATGATGTGGCCTAGTAGTCAATAAGGACCAATATAAATAACAAACGACTTAGAGGGAATAAGTTCAAATTATGGTGACCACCTACCTAGGATTTAATATCTTACAAGTTATCTAGGTAACCAAATGTAGTAGAGTCAAACAGTTGTCCCGTGAGATTAGTCGAGGTGCGCGCAAGATGGTCCAGACACTAAGTAAATGTTTTGTCATTTTATCTTTGGCTAAATATATAGTCCTCAATGTTTGGTGTTTTTCAATCTAGTTTCTATTATTTGAAAAAGTTTTAATTTTAATTTCACCTCTTACAGTTTACACACATCTTTTATCAAAGTTAAAAGAACTTCGAATTTAAGATTTATATACTTATCATATACATGTGTGCGCATAAAGCTCATACAAATTAAGGCGCAATTGCCCCTCCTTTGTGTTTGACTCCGCCCTGCATAATCAATACATAGCAAATACTGGCAATTACACAAGAAAGCCAAGGTGGGAACTTACTCGTTAGACGTTTACCTGCTTTCCATTCATAGGCCAAAATGTTGTTGAAGCTTGGAATAAAACGACGCCAAGTTGGCCGAGCAATTCCTTCATCCCCTGCGATCGACAAAGTAATTTAAGTCTATAAGAAAAATGTACCATGTTCCCCAATCCCATGGCTCTTTAGGTGACTAGCAATTCTTTCCAATACTTTGTATATAACCCTGCTTTTTGGATGTGACTTGTCACCCTTACGAAACTCATGAACTACACCATCAACTTCAATCAAACTACATCCAGGAGTCTTTCTCATCTTCTTACTTTTCATCATCTTTCTTAATTCCAATGCATCTTTCCATCTATGAACAGAAGAATACAAATTCGTCATAAGAATAAAAGCACCATCTTCATTACGATCTAAATCCATCAGTTTTTGCATGACACCTTCGCCGAGGTCAACATTTCCATGAATCCTGCAAGCCCCTAAAAGAGCTCCCCAAGCAAAGGTATCTGGGCTGATTTGCATTCTGAGGATAATCTCTTCTGCCTCCTTCACTAACCCTGCACGACCAAGAAGGTCAATCATGCACCCATAATGCTCTGCTTGAGGTCTAAGATTATATGTATTTGACATGTCAAAAAGGTACTTCTTGCCCTCTGCAACCAATCCACCATGGCTGCAAGCCATAAGAAGACCTAAAAATGTCACCTCGTTCGGCTCAATACCAACTCTTGACATCTCGGAGAAGATACGAAATGCAGAGTTTGCTTTGCCATGTAAGGCCAACCCAACAATCATGGATGTGTATGAATATACATCCCTCCTTTTCATGCCCTGAAACACCCTAAAAGCTTCGTCTATTCTTCCACACTTTCCATACATATCCAGAAGTGCGTTCCCAACAAATTTATCAGCCAAAATATTATTTCTACGCATGTATTCATGAACCCACTTACCTAACTCAAGGACTCCAAGGTTTGCGCAAGAGTTCAAAACCCCCACTAAGGTCACCTCGTCCGGCTTTAACCCTGCGCTTTGCATGCCACGAAACACGTCCAGAGCTTCCCTATACCGGCCTTGGTAAGCCAATCCCGAGATCACGGCATTCCATGTAACAACATTTCTCACAGGCATTTCATTGAACACTTCATAAGCAGAGTTTGAATCATTGCACTTCAAGTACATATCAATCAGGGCATTACCGAGAAATACATCTGCATTCATGTCAATGTAATGGCGGATATAGGAATGTACCTTTCGACCCAAATTCAGGTCTCCTAAGTTGGAGCACGCAGAGAGAACAACCACCAAAATCCGCCCATCAGCCCTTAGGTTTAGATCACACATCTTCAGAAATGCTCCAATCGCTCTCCTGTGGAGCCCNGGAGTGATGTAATTGTTGAAGAAGTTAGCAAACTTTTGAAAGCTGAATACATAAGAGAAATTTCGTATCCCGAGTGGCTCTCCAATGTTGTATTAGTTAAAAAATCTAACGGAAAGTGGAGAATGTGCGTAGATTTTACGAACTTAAATAAGGCATGCCTGAAAGATTGCTTCCCACTGCCGAGGATTGATCAGCTCGTGGACGCCACAGCCGGGCATGAACTGCTCACCTTCATGGACGCCTACTCTGGGTACAACCAAATCAAGATGCATGTCCCAGATCAAGATCATACCGCATTCATAACAGACCAAGGTCTGTACTGTTACAAGGTCATGCCCTTCGGTTTAAAGAATGCAAGAGCGACCTACCAGAGAATGGTGAACAAAATGTTCGCCAAGCAGATCGGTCGGAATATGGAAGTGTATGTGGACGACATACTTGTCAAGAGCAAGCAGTCTAAGTCGCATCTCTCCGATCTGACTGAAGCCTTCGAGGTTCTAAGGACATATCAAATAAAGCTCAACCCAGCTAAATGTGCCTTTGAAGTCTCTTCGGGAAAATTCCTTGGCTTCATGGTGAACCACCGGGGGATCGAGGCCAACCCCGAAAAGATTAAAGCCGTGCTCGAGATGGAGGCACCTAAGACGCTGAARCAGCTTCAGTGCCTCAATGGCAGGATTGCGGCCCTGAACCGGTTTGTTTCAAGATCGACAGATAAGTGCCTTCCTTTCTTCAAAGTCCTACGAAAGAAAGGGCCGTTTGAATGGACAGTAGAGTGCGAACAAGCATTTCAGCAATTGAAGGGCTACCTCTGTTCGACACCTTTGCTCGCCAAGCCCCTGCCAGGGGACAAGCTCCAATTATACTTAGCAGTGTCTAACAGTGCTGTCAGCTCGGCCCTAATCAGGCAAGAGGAAGCGCGGCAAAACCCGGTCTACTACACAAGCAAGGCTATGACCGAAGCCGAGACTAGATACCCTAAGATGGAGAAGTTGGCTCTCGCTTTAGTCACCTCGGCCCGACGACTTAGACCATACTTCCAAGCCCATACTGTGGTGGTGCTCACAAATTTGCCCCTAAAAAAATCTTCCATAAGCCAGAAGCTTCTAGACGCCTGATGAAGTGGGCAATGGAGCTAAGTGAATACGACATCCAGTTCGAACCCAGAACTGCGTTGAAAGGACAAGCAGCGGCATATTTCATAGCCGAGCTCACACCACCTTCCGAGCTGAGCGAGTCCGACCTACCATGGACAATCTATGGGCCGGGGTCCTCTTGCTCGGACCAGGAGGCGAGCGATTTGAGTATGCCTTGCGGTTCGGCTTCCGGACTTCTAACAACGAGGCTGAGTATGAAGCATTTATTGCCGGTCTACGAATCGCTAGAGCATTGGGGGCCTCTTGTGTTAAGGTCTTCAGCGACACCCAGCTGGTTGTGAGCCAGATCAAGGAAGAGTACCAAGCCAAAGACTCCCGAATGGAGAAGTATTTGGGCAAGGTCAGATCGTACCTCGCCCAGTTTCGAACTTACGAAGTAAGTCGGGTTCCCCGAGCAGAAAATTCTAATGCTGACGCCTTGGCCAAGTTAGCATCGACGTACGAGACCGACCTGGCCAGGTCGGTCCCCGTCGAGATCTTAGATAATCCATCGATCTCAAAGCCAGATCTGATGGAGATCGGCGCTCCAGAGTCCTTATGGATGGACCCGATTGCGGACTTCATTAGGGGCAATTCACCGCAAGACCCCAAGGAGCGCAGAAAGTTGGCAAGGCGAGCAGCTCGGTTCGTGGTCCAAGGTGGAGCGTTGTACCGACGCGGCTTTTCCCTGCCTCTATTGAGATGCCTAACCCCTGAAGAGGGCCTGTACGTCCTCAGAGAAATCCACGAAGGAGTGTGCGGCAATCACTCAGGCGCCCGGTCGCTGTCAGCCAAAGTGATCCGACAAGGATACTATTGGCCGACCCTCAGCCAGGACGCCAAGAAGTTCGTTAGAACTTGCGACAATTGCSAACGCTACGGAACCATAATCCACCAACCTCCCGAGCTGCTCACCCCCATCTCGGCCCCGTGGCCATTCGCGTAGTGGGGGGTAGATATCATTGGTCCTTTCCCTTTGGGCAAGGGCCAGACCAAGTTCGCTGTGGTTGCTGTGGATTACTTCACAAAGTGGGCCGAGGCCGAGGCGCTCTCCCACATAACGGAATCCAGAGTCACGTCCTTCGTATGGACAAATATCATATGTCGCTTTGGTATACCGCAGGCCATTGTGACAGACAATGGGAAGTAGTTTGACAACGCCAAGTTCAAAGACTTTTGCAGCAAGCTTGGCATAAGTCACCTTAGCTCGTCCCCCGCACATCCGCAAGCAAATGGG